ACACATACACAGTATATATACCACATATTCCATATATATAGTATATATATACCACATATCTGTGTGTGTATACACACACAATAAAACTTCTATAAGTTGACCACCCAAGGGACTGTAACAAACAGGTCAACACATAGAGGTGGTCAACATAAGGAAACCAGATATACTGTATCGATATGTACACAGGGTGCCTATCTGGTCCATGAAAATTAGGTCAACTTAAGGAGGTGGTCAGTGTAGGGAGGAGGTCAACTATGGAGGTTCTACTGTATATAGAAAATAAAAAAGGGGGGACCCATATATATGGCTGTTTGCATATGGAGAGCCTGTCTCCAGAGGGAAACAGAAGAAGCTGGTCACAGTGACTCAATCCATTATTATTTCTTCAAAGACAATAAATTTCTCGGGTGTGGCGACAGGAGCGAGGAGGAGCGGAGGGAGGGAGGGAGGGAGATTATTGATAACATCTCCTGCAACTCTGCCACCCTCCCAAACCATACCCCACACCCGTCTCCACCCTCCCCCCCAGCCCACTGAGGCGGCTCATTGTATGAGGAAAGGTAAACGCAGGCACTGAGAACCACTGCTGATTAATGAGGAAATGAATACATGCTGGGTCCTGTTAGGATGGGATCTTCCAAATCCTGGAGGAGAGGAATATCAAATTCCAGGTCCCTGAGCAGAACTTGCCTTTCAGTATCCCCTGAAGACACTGGGCTGGGCTTCCCCTGTCAGCATGAAAGGAATGAGAGGGAGTGAGAGTATGTAGATTTCAGCTCAAAAGAAGAGTTGAAGAACATCTAGAGATAACACAGCAGTTGACAGCTTCGTACTTCAGGAAGGAAAGGAGCTCACGGTTAACAAGCTGGCACTTTTTGAGCCATTAGGATGGAGACTTTATGGACATTATTTCATTAGGTGTGAATTAGAAGAAAATATACTATTTTATGGATGAGAAAACCAATCTCAGTGGGGTTGAGTAACTTGTCCAAAGACACATGGATGGTGACTGATGGAACCGAATCCTTCTACCAGATCTACTGGGCTCCAAAGACCATCCTTTATTTTGTATAGACATATGAATGAGCCAGCCAGCATTTCATATATATATGAAAGTCTCAGTCTGTTGGCCAGTCGCCCAGCCTAGAATGCCATGGCATCAGCCTAGCTCACAGCAACCTCAAATTCTTGGGCTCAAGAATGATAATAAATAATTATTAATAATGGTTTTTTAAGAAATAACAAGCAAGAGCCATCTTCTTGCTTTAGCCTCTGGAGTAGCTGAGACTACTTCTACCAGTAGCTGTGGCACCTGGCACCACACCCAGCTAGTTTTTCTATTTTTAGTAGATATGGGGGTCTACTCTTGCTCAAGCTGGGCTTGAACTCCCGAATTCGAGCGATCCTCCCTCCCCGACCTCCCAGAGTACAGGCATAAGCTACTGCATCCAGTCTTTTTCTTCTATATCTTCCCCTGGGTTGTCCTAGGATAGTAAAAGTGCAGGGGAGGTTTGTGAATTGCATAGGAGGTTATATCAAGTTATCTTAGATCCCTTGCTAATCTCAGAGCTGCTGATGCTATGAGGTCTCCAGAGCAAAAGGAAAAGTATCAGAGAGCAAAGTTACCTCCTCCAGCAATCTCTGGAGGGTCCACGTTCCATTCGTGCATCAGGGTGGGAAAGTCCAAAACAGAGTTTTCAGAGCTGGGCACTCTGCTGCCCTGAGCTAAAGCAGGGTTTATTTTAGGAAGGAAGAAATGGAGGCCAGAGAAGAGGCAGCCAACCTGCAGCACCGGCCCTAGCATGGTCCAGGAAGGAGCTTGCTCTTTTCATTGCCAGGGCACTTGGGCAAGGCAGCCTTTGGGTTGGCAGTGCCAAAGAAACCTTGCCAGGGGACACATGGCAGGGAGAGGAGGGCTTGGCGTCAGTACCAGGGAGCTTCCGGAGCAGACTGGAACTAGAGCTGGGTGTCTGTATGTGGTCCAGAGGCTGTCCTATAAAAAGGAGGATGGAGTGGAGGTTTGTGACTGGGAAATTACTAAGGAGGCCAAGTCCTGGTCTCTGCAGAGTCTGAGCCCAGCGTCAGACTGACCCGAGGTTGGAGAAGGGAGCAGGCATGGCCATTTACAAGCTTTTGTTGTCTTTCAGGTCTCCCCCTCAGGGTCTCTGGGCCCCCTCTCTCTCCCTCCTGTCCACAGCACCATGCCTGGAACAGGTGAGCTTTCAGATGAAGTTTCTGAATAACACCAGAATTGCTTTAAATCTGGGATATTAGAACTGAAAAGTACCTGAGTCAGCCTTTGCTAAATGCATTTCAAAGGATATTAAAATCCATGTTATGAAAAAAAGATTCCACGATCATTTACGTTTGAGAAATGCTGACATAAGCCAAGTTCAAACAAGCGTGTGTTTGTTTTTTGTTTTGTTTTAATTGCAGCACTTCTCAGCACTCAAAATGCACAGCGGTGCATTCAGTATGAGCCGTGTGGGGCTGAGGGGAGGCAGGGCTTTCCATACAAATTTTCTACAAACAAAATTTCTCTGTTTTAAAAAACTGCGTGTATAATTTCAAAGACAGTAAATGCAGGTAACCGTACGTCCAAGTGCGCCCAGGACAGTTTCAGCGTCTGCCTCATGTCCTGACATACTTATCCATAGCACTTCCTTCTACTTGTCACAGGGTCTTAGTTTGGATGGTCAAATATATGTCGCCCCATCCACAGAACACAGTTGGGGCGACATAAACACAAGAATGAATCCAAACCTGCCATTTTACTGAGGATGCAAATGAGTTTTAGGGAAGTAAAACAAGTCAGCACAGGCCACAGAGCTGGTTAGTGGATGGCTTGGAACTGAGACAAGACTCGGGTCCCTTCACTCTGGGTTCAGTGCTCTTTCTAGAAGACTACACTTTTTCTTTGTGGAGATGGGGGAGCTGGGAGGGCTGGAGGTCTTTCACTGCGCTCCCGTGTCCTCCTTGTCCCCATGCACTTTCCCTTCTGTCCTCCCCTCTTCTATCTTGCTCTTTCCTCCTCCCACCCCTTGGTCTGCGGCTGCACATGCCCAGCCCAGGGTGTGTCCCGGAGTCAGATGGTTTTGGCATCTGTCCTTCTCACATTTGGCAAGTCTGGGACTTGCAGAACCAGCCACTCCACTCTCCAGGGCCTGGGATGCAGAGAGCATTTGTGATGACAGCCCCTCTGGGGACGGGCACAGGTTGATGTAAACATGGGAGGAGGTGGGCTGATGGGTGAGGGATTGGAAGAGGGTGAGGTGACTTTGGGGATGCACCTGGAAATCAAGTGTCTGAAGGGCCATGTCATGAGGTCCCAAGACCCAGCAGCATTATTTTTCCCTTGTTTTTGCCTCTCCTTGTCCTCAGTAACGTCATCCTGTTCCCCTGGGAACAACAGCAGGCCTTCGTCTCCTGGCTCAGGACTCCACACCAGCAGCCCCACTGCATCTCAAAATAACTCCAAAGCAGCAATGAATTCCTCCTCCAGTTTTAACTCTTCAGGGTAAGATGGAGGGAAGAGTATACAGACAGCTTAGCAGGGCCACGGGACATGTGAGAAGTTGGGTCAATGCCTTGGGAAATAAAGCTTGTCAACAGAGTTGGAAAAAAGGAATGTGGGGTAGGAGAGGGCAAAGGCGAGAGCAGCCTGGACTTCATCCCTAGGGAGTGAGGATTTAAAAAAGAAGCTTCAGCCAGTGAGCAGTCCTGGCAAGGAGCTGAAGTCAACAAAGCCAAAATTTCCATCCTCACTTTGAAGGGTGGAAATTTCCAAATGCTGCAGTGAGAAAGGGCCAGTTCCTTCCCCAGGCTTAGGAGTGTTCCATTTCATGCCAGGAGCCCGTTCTTGGGATGTTCTGATGGACTCTAGGGCTTAGGGACAAAGAAAAGCATGGGCTTCAAGCCTGGCTGATGTGGGGAGAGAGGAAAGTGGTGTTGCCTTCTGCTCCCACCTGGAACGCAGTGGGGACAGCAGCCTCCTGGGCCTTAGCTCAGGAAGGAAAGAATTTATGCTAAAAAGTATTTTGAAAGCTGATGCCTTGAGAGAGATTCTGCTCTCATTCTGAACAAAGCAGAGAATTGAAAGTCAGGCAATAGGTTATAGACCTTAGCTTGTTGGAAGAGATGAATCTACTTATCCAAATCCAGGCAGTTCAGCAAGGCAGCCAGCTCTTATTGGCGAAAGGTTGAGAGCCCAGAAAGTTGGGGCTCCTCACTTACTTTCATGGAGAGATAGAAAGGGAAAGTGGTGCAATGGAGGGGGAGAAAGAGAGAAACAATACATATTAGTAGCTTTAAAATTTATTTTGTGCTGCCGGCGCCTGTGGCTCAGAGGAGAAGGGCCCCAGCCCCATATGCTGGAGGTGGTGGGTTCAAACCCAGCCCTGGCCAAAAACTGCAAAAAAAAAAAAAAAATTGTATTGTGCCTGTAGTCCCATCTACTTGGGAGGCTGAGGCAAGAGAATTGCCTGAGCCCAAGAACTGGAGGTTGCTGTGAGCTGTGACTCCACGGCCCTCTACCAAGGGTGACAAAGTAAGACTCTGCCTCTAAAAAATAAAAAGTTGTTTTGAGATATTCATATGCCATAACATTTACCACTTTGAAGTGTACAGTTCAGTAGTTTCTGTTGTTCGTTTTTATATTTTGTTTGTTTTTTTCGAGACAGGATCTTGCTCAGTTGCCTGGAGTAGAGTATAGTGGCATCACCCTAACTCACAGCAACCTCATGCTCCTGGTCTTAAGCAATCCTCCTGCCTCAGCCTCCCAATATCTGGGACTACAGGTGCCCACTACCACACCTGGTTAATTTTTCTATTTTTTGTAGCGATAGTGTCTCACTCTTGCTCAGTCTGGTCTTAAACTCCTGGCCTCAAGTGATCCTCCCACTTTGGCCTTCCAGAATTCTAGGAATATGAACATGAGCTACTGTGCCCAGGCTGCTCAATAGTTTTTAATATAATAAAAAAGTTATACAGTTATCACCATTATATAGTTCCGGAACATTTTTACCATCCCACACAGAACCCCTCCATCTGTTAGCAGTCACTCCCCACTCTTATCTTCCCACATCATGTTGGTAGCTTTATGATTGCCCTGTTCCTTCCTTCCTTCCAGATCCTGGTACCGATGGAATCACCCCACCTACCTCCACTGAGACCAAAAAGTTTCTCCTACTCCACCCTGCCCTGAATTGCCACTGGAAGGAAGGAAGTCATGCCTTCTCTGTATGGACAGATTGTTTTCAGAAGAGTGAGAGAAAATCCCTGTTATCAATGAAAACCCAACTGTTACCTTCTTCAGGAGCGAGGCCCTCCAGAGATCCAAACTGCGATTGAACCATGTTCTGACTCCTAATGCTCTTGAAATACATAACCCTTCCTAGGAGTTGACCATTTTCACCTTCCTCACCTGTGCCTTTACCATCTAGTTCAAGTACTTTAGACAGCCTCACTGTGGCATAGTCTTTCAGAGAAAGGACTTCTTGTTATTATTCTCCAATTCATCTCTGGGCTTCTGGGGACAGCCATTTGCCTGGAGTGCCAAACTATTAGCAGGTGAGACTCTGAAGTTAGCCATAAGATCTGGACTGATCCCAAAAGCTGTGGAAAGATTTGAATCTGATATCTCCCCCCAAAGCCTTCATGTTTTCTCTGTTCAGAAAAGTTTTCTGAGTGAATCTTCATTTTACTCCTTTTTTTCCCCCCAGATAGACTTTCAGTATGTCGCCCTCAGTTGAGTACCGTGGCGTCACAGCTCACAGCAACCTCAAACTCTAGGGCTAAAGCGATTCTCTTGCCTCAGCCTCCCAGATAGCTGGGACTATAGGCGCCTGCCACAACACCCCGCTATTTTTATTTTTATTTTATTTTTTTGAGACAGAGTCTCACTGTGTTGCCTTGGGTAGCACCGAGCTATGTTTAGAGATGGGATCTTCTTGCTCAGGCTGGTCTGGAAGTCTTGACCTCAAGCAATCCACCTACCTTGGCCTCCTAGAGTGCTAGGATTACAGGTGTGGGCCACTTCTCCTGGCCTTGATTACTCAGTTGTTATTTGGTGGAAAGAACACTAGATTTTTTTTTTTTTTTTGAGACAGAGTCTCATTATGTCACCATCAGTAGAGTGAGGTGGCGTCACAGCTCACAGCAACCTCAAATTCTTAGGCTTAAGCAATTTTCTTGCCTCAGCCTCCCAAGTAGCTGGGGCTACAGGCGCCCACCACAACGCCCAGCTATTTTTGTTGTTGTTGTTGCAGTTGTCATTATTGTTTAGCTGGCCTGGGACTAGTTCGAACCCGCCAGCCTTGGTTTATGTGGGTGGCGCTCTACCC